AATTTTATTGATTTCCGGGTTATCTAAAACCATTCTAGTGATTTTTGGATTATTTAAAGGTCAATTAGTGATTTGAGTGGTATTTTAAGGCCATTTAGTGATTCGGTTATTTCAATGACTTCATTGTTATTTTAAGACCTTTTCAGTGTATTTAATGTTATATTAAGATCATTTTGATGACTAGTGTTTTTTAGCCACTTTAGTGTTATTTTAAGGACATTTTAATGACTTGATATTTTTCAAGCCATTTTAATGCAGTCAGAAGTCACAGTGAGCTAGCAGTGAAATATCTTCTTGGTAGTCAGTGTTTCGAGTGTTTAATGCCTGCTTCAGACACCGTAAAGTGGCCCTCTCTGGCCCACATATCCATCACAGCCTGGTTGATCCGGTACTTGGCGGAGGTGCATGTCCAGTTTCCTCTTGAAAACCTCTAAAACTTGTTCCGGCAGTGTTTCTGATATTCTGTGGTAGAGTGTTTGACCACGGATGATGATACAGTGTTCTCTTACTGTGCCCAGGGCATCGCATGCTTTTCACTGGGTTTATTTTACATTTTCTCCCATATCTCTCACTCTAGTATGTTGTTATGGTAGAGTGAAGATCTGAAACCAGGGTCCCCTGTACGTCCCTCCACGTATATATTATCATGCATCTCTCTCTCTCTCTTTCTCTCTCTGTCTCTCTCTCTGTCTCTCTCTCTGTCTCTCTCTCTCTCTCTCTCTCTCTCTCTCTCTCTCTCTCTCTCTCTCTCTCTCTCTCTCTCTCTGTCTCTCTCTCTCTCTCTCTCTCTCTCTCTAGGTGACTATAACTGGGTGATTACAACTGATAAATGGTTCGGAGAACCGACAGGTTGATAAATCAGACACACGTGCAACACTTGGAAACGTGACGCCATGCAATGTATTGGACTAAGGAAGCCACTGGTTGGTGAAACCTTTCCACAATCAAGATACCCAAGTGTTGCAGATATGTCTATGTCATCACCAAGCACAACCGAGTACAACTAGGTGACTAAAACTAGATGAGTACAACTAGGTGAGAACACTTACCATAACATAATGTCTTTGCATTTCAGACTTTTCTTGTACTAGTTTATCCGCTTCCAACTTGATACTGAAACAAGAAAACAGAATCTTGAGCCTGGAGGAACACACATATTGTAAGATAAATAATAAACTGTGCTAAAATAGTTAGAAAATTGAAATCTCGTATGTAATAAACGATAACTTTTTTATGCTTAAAGATTATATATATATATATATATATATATATATATATATATATATATATATATATATATATATATATATATATATATATATATATATATATATGCAAAACAACCACTCTGAAAGAATAGAGAAATTCCAAGCGCTTTCGTGACTACTCACATTATCAATAATGATAATGTGAGTAGTCACGAAAGCGCTTGGAATTTCTCTATTCTTTCAGAGTGGTTGTTTTGCATATTTTGAAATCACCTGTTTACTGTGATCTTATTGCATATTATATAATATATATATATATATATATATATATATATATATATATATATATATATATATATATATATACACACAATACACATGCATAGATGTATGAACATGTACAGCATAGATTTGTGTGTTGTAAATATGTATACATGAATCTGCAAGAATGTATATGAAAATCTGCAAGGACTTGTGAGTATGTAAATGTATATATTGACATGACAGACAGAGGTAGTGGACAAAGTCCTGAGCTGGTGAGGTTCGGTGTCACTAATATCACTATTACACTTGGCCACATTAAAGTTTAAACCGTGCAAAGTGACTTCACTTCAAAAACATCAAATGACCGTCATGTCATTGTTATCATGCATCTCTCTCTCTCTCTCTCTCTCTCTCTCTCTCCACAGTAAATAAATAAACTTGGATAAATGAAACACGGAACGGTTGGGGATCAAACCCAGGGCATGTGAGTCCTAACAATCACAGGTGTTAACCACTGGACAATACTGAGCTGTAGTTTTCAGGACTCACCTGCTCTGGATTCGACCCTCACCCCGTTTGGTGATTTGTTTGTAATGGTGAGCCAGTTAAATACGTGAAACTTATTCGCAGATGTGTCTGTCATATGTGGACCAGCCAGCAGCAACAGCCTGCTTGAACCATTAACAAACACCTAAGACCCTAGAACCATTAAGAAACACCTACTACCCTGAAACCATTAACAAACACCTAAGACCCTGGAACCATTAACACCTAAGACCCTGGTACCATTAACAGACACCTAAGACAATGGTATTATTAACAGACACCAAAGACCATGGTACCATTAACAAACACCTAAGACCCTGGTACCATTAACAAACATCTAAGACCATGGTACCACTAACAAACACCTAAGACCATGGTACCATTAAAAGACACCTAAGACCTTGGTACCATTAACAAACACCTAAGACCCTGGAACCATTAACACCTAAGACCCTGGTACCATTAACAGACACCTAAGACCCTGGTACCATTAACAGACACCTAAGATCATGGTACCATTAACAGACACCTAAGATCATGGTACCATTAACAAACATCTTAAGACCATGGTACCATTAACAAACACCTAAGACAGTACCATTAACAAACACCCATGACCATGGTACCATTAACAAACACCTAAGACCATGGTACCATTAACAGACACCTAAGACCCTGGTACCATTAACAGACACCTAAGATCATAGTACCATTAACAGACATCTTAAGACCATGGTACCATTAACAAACACCTAAGACCATGGTACCATTAACAAACACCTAAGATCATGGTACTATTAACAGACACCTAAGACCCTGGTACCATTAACAGACACCTAAGATCATGGTACCATTAACAAACATCTTAAGACCATGGTACCATTAACAAACACCTAAGACAGTACCATTAACAAACACCCATGACCATGGTACCATTAACAAACACCTAAGACCATGGTACCATTAACAAACACCTAAGACCATGGTACCATTAACAAACACCTAAGACCATGGTACCATTAACAAACACCTAAGACCATGGTACCATTAACAAACACCTAAGACCATGGTACCATTAACAAACACCTAAGACCATGGTACCATTAACAAACACCTAAGACCATGGTACCATTAACAAACACCTAAGACCATGGTACCATTAACAAACACCTAAGACCATGGTACCATTAACAAACACCTAAGACCATGGTACCATTAACAGGTACCCCAGGCAAAACTAGCAATGCTTCAGGAAACTACAGGTTTACACAGAAAAGATCAAACCTCCAACCATCCCCCACCCCTCCACGCTCCCCAACCATCCCCCACCCCTCCACCCTCCCCAACCATCCCCCACCCCTCCACCCTCCCCAACCATCCCCCACCCCTCCACCCTCCCCAACCATCCCCCACCCCTCCACCCTCCCCAACCATCCCCCACCCCTCCACCCTCCCCAACCATCCCCCACCCCTCCACCTCCCCAACCACCCCCCACCCCTCCACCCTCCCCAACCATCCCCCACCCCTCCACCCTCCCCAACCATCCCCCACCCCTCCACCCTCCCCAACCATCCCCCACCCCCACCCCCTCCAACCATCCCACCACCACCCCCCCACCATCCCCCACACCACCTCCCCAACCATCCCCCACCCTCCCCAACCATCCCCCACCCCTCCACCCTCCCCAACCATCCCCCACCCCTCCACCCTCCCCAACCACCCCCCACCCCTCCACCCTCCCCAACCATCCCCCACCCCTCCACCCTCCCCAACCATCCCCCACCCTCCCCAACCATCCCCCACCCCTCCAATCCCCCCAACCATCCCCCACCCCTCCACCCTCCCCAACCATCCCTCACCCTTCCAATCCCCCAACCATCCCTCACCCTTCCAATCCCCCAACCATCCCCCACAACTCCACCCTTCCCAACCATCCCCCACCCCTCCACCCTCACCAACCATCCCCCACCCCTCCACCCTTCCCAACCATCCCCCACAACTCCACCCTTCCCAACCATCCCCCACAACTCCACCCTTCCCAACAATCCCCCACCCCTCTACCTTCCCCAACCATCCCCCACCCCTCCACCATCCCCCACCATCATAAAATGACTGACAGCCAATTTACGCCAAATGATCTTGTATATAGGGAAAAACAGGCCAATTTGTGATAAGTGGAGTCGCTGAAATTGGACGGGGCAGGGGTGGAGAACTGGAGGGGAGAAACGGGGAGAGAGGGAAGAGAAGGGGAGTGAAGAGACGGGGAGAGACAGAGGAAAGAGAAGGGGGGGGGCGAAGAGATGGGGAGGAAAGATGAATAAGGAGATAGGAGAGGTGTGGTGGGCAGAAGAAAGGGATAGGCTGAGGAGAGGAAGAGAGAGAAAAGGGCCAGACCAGCCTGGCCTAAGACTAGGCTGCCGGAGTACCAAAATCTCTGGAAACCCATCGAAACCTTTGGAAACCCATCGAAACTTCTGCAACCCCATCAAATTCTCTGGAACTCCATCAAAACCTCCGGAACACATTAAAACCTCTGAAAACCTCCGGAAACCCATTAAAACCTCTGGAAACTCATTAAAAGCATGTGACGCTGTTGTTATTGCTGCTGTTTTCGTTGTTACTTTTTGTTGTGTTATTTTAGTTTTTGTTTTTTTGTCTATATCTTTTTTTTTGTCTTTACCGTTGTTTCATGTAGTTCATGACACTGTCGTAATGGGATGAATAAAAGTGAGAAAACTCTCGAGTCCTCTGTATCACAAACAAGAACTGGAATGAGGTGTCTCAGTGTGCAGGGAGGCGTGAGGCTGAGAATGATACACATGTTTCTCAGTGTACACGAGACATACATGAGTATCAAGGACTCACAAGTTGAACACACACACACACACACACACACACACACACACACACACACACACACACACACACACACACACACACACACACACGAGTCTCAAGGACTTCCAAAGAGAAGAGGACCAAAGTTGGGTTTTACTATGGGGTTCACAAAGTGGGTTCAACTATGAGAGTGGAACCTTCTTCCCTCCCTCCCCCCCAGAGTGGAGCCTCCACATTAAAACACAGGAGCAGCCTCCTGCCACTCCCAGCATCACAGAAATTAATTGACGTTCACTGTTGGACGCGCCCGGGACACACTTGAAAAATGCCATTAACAGGTGACGGTGTGTGTGTTTGTGAGGGGGGAATGGAAATGGGTGAGTAGTGGGGAAAGAAGAGGAGATGTTGTGAGAATGCCTCTTTGTATAATATATATGTTGTGCCGAATAGGTAAAATTGGTCAATTAGCAAGAACTCATTGAAAATAAAGTCCTTTCTAAAATTTTCTGGTCAGAGACCGGGCCGCGGGGGCGTTGACCCCCGGAACTCTCTCCAGGTAATGTAAAAAATTAATAATTTTATATAAAAAGAACCTTAGAAATCTTACCTAACCTTCTTATAACAAGCGCAATTTAATTTATTCTAATCCAGCTAAATATATTCTAAAAAAGTTTACAGTAATTTAATAATAAACAAACATAATGAAATATATGTTTTCATTAAGTTCAGAATGATTTATGCGAAATTATTGCATACACAAATTTTCGCTTGTCTTATTTGACAAGAAAAACGTTGCTATTTAAGCCAAAATTACAAATTTTATCTATTCGGCACGACATTACACACACACACACACACACACACACACACACACACACACACACACACACACACACACAGGAAGACAGCAGCGAGTCATGGTACGTGGCGAGGTGTCAGAGTGGGCACCTGTGACCAGCGGGGTCCCGCAGGGGTCAGTCCTAGGACCAGTGCTGTTTCTGGTATTTGTGAACGACATGACGGAAGGAATAGACTCTGAGGTGTCCCTGTTTGCAGATGACGTGAAGTTGATGAGAAGAATACACTCGATCGAAGACCAGGCAGAACTACAAAGGGATCTGGACAGGCTGCAGACCTGGTCCAGCAATTGGCTCCTGGAGTTCAATCCCACCAAGTGCAAAGTCATGAAGATTGGGGAAGGGCAAAGAAGGCCGCAGACGGAGTACAGTCTAGGGGTCAGAGACTACAAACCTCAC